CGTGATCCTCACTGTGCCTGGTTGGAGACACTACAAGATATGGCTGCCAACCGATGTCAGTGGCGTTCTTGTTGTCAGTTTCTGTCGAGATTGCCTGAGTGAATGTCTAGAGGTGTAGGCACCTCAGAATGACTGTGTTAAGCTAGCACTAAGTCCCTCCCCCATCCATCTTTATTCTTTTCTTCACAATAAGGCTTTCAAATAAGTCATGGTTGTACGGCAGTGAAGCATCGGCGTTGGACACTGATGTCATGCTGTCGATGATGATGATGATTTCTTGGGAAGGGAAGCTCGGTACGTACACCTCGCCTAGACATTGAAAGCCTTCAGACCTACCGAGGCTCTTTTCAGGCAACTTCGAATGTTGACTCCTGCTAGTGGATCTATAAAATTAAAGAGGTGGAACAAGCGAGGAACTCTCCAGATATGCGAAATTTATTCCGAGCGACATACGAAACGGGCCCAAAAAATTATAGTGAGTGGAACCATCAATGGTAAAAAGGTCCGGTTTTCTCTAAAAAATAGCAACTTAGTCATTGGCCTGAATACTATCGACAACAATATAACTCACTAATTGTCACTACTCAGTTGGATTTCGGATACAGGTTAGAGCCCTGGATAGTTAGCTTGGGATCTCACCTGGAAATTAGGTGAGATGCCTTTCCTCCTTTCAACTGCTGGCGGGCTTCCACCCGCTTTGTTTAAGGATGCTATCATCATCATCATCATCATCATCATCATCATCGACAGCATGACATCAGTGTTCAACACCGATGCATCACTGCCGTGATATAACAATTGTTCAGCTGTAACACCCTTTCGGCGCGTAGCTGCCATACCACCCGAAGGTTGCACGAGGATTGGGATACTGCCAAATTGCCCAAGTCTAGACAGAGGAAGTCGGTAGTCGAACCACGAACCTTCCGGTCAGTAAATTCGTGCTCTAATCACTTGGGCTATCTCGCCCCCGCTTGAGGATGTAAGTGAAATCCTCAGTCCGTACGTACATAACTTACTTGTCTCCGTCTGAGGGGACCGTCTCAACCAACTGGAATAAGTCAGTCGCAGTGCTCACTTTCGGAAAAGGTGCCGCAGTGAATGTGGCAGTTCGAGGAATTAGCCTAATCTCTGTTACAACGTGACTCATCGCATCGCTTATTTTACACCCTATATGAAAGCGCGCGAAGCCCTGTTTCGAGGACATCAGACAGGATTCCAACCAGGAAGGGGCTGTGTCGACCACATCCTCCCGCTCAGTCAAGTGTTAGTGTAACGGTGTGCGTGTAGGTGCCCTACAACCTTGGTGTTCCTTCACTTTAGCAATGCGTTGGATTCTATCAATCGATTCGATCTTTTCAATACTCTTGCGCTACAGTTCGCGGTTATCATGATCTGTTTGCATTCACATACGTATCCTCAGTCCGTACATGTCTAACTTACTTGTCTCCGTCTGAGGGGACCGTCTCAACCAACTGGAATAAGTCAGTCGCAGTGCTCACTTTCGGAAAAGGTGCCGCAGTGAATGTGGCAGTTCGAGGAATTAGCCTAATCTCTGTTACAACGTGACTCATCGCATCGCTTATTTTACACCCTATATGAAAGCGCGCGAAGCCCTGTTTCGAGGACATCAGACAGGATTCCAACCAGGAAGGGGCTGTGTCGACCACATCCTCCCGCTCAGTCAAGTGTTAGTGTAACGGTGTGCGTGTAGGTGCCCTACAACCTTGGTGTTCCTTCACTTTAGCAATGCGTTGGATTCTATCAATCGATTCGATCTTTTCAATACTCTTGCGCTACAGTTCGCGGTTATCATGATCTGTTTGCATTCACATACGTGTGGGCGCGTTTGAGTGTTTGAGGAGTGCCCCAAAAGGCTTTCCTGCAAGCGGTGTTGCCCGGCATTTTTGTCCAGATCTTCCCAAGTGAGAATTTTTTCGATATGGATTATCTAGATGACATTGATCTCGTTGTTGAGGAAATCAGAAAGTGCGGAATTACTTGAATAGCTAAGGTGTTTCGGCCTTTGCTTCGTGCTCATACGATGCAGGGTCGTGCAGATGGACGCGCAGCCTTTGAAAATGCCTCAAGAGTTCTAAGTGACACTAGAAGTTGTGACGAACTATAAGTACCTCGGAAGGTGCATTGATTCTGGCTTTTGTGTGACAGACGTGATTGTGTGATATAGCTTAAAGAGCTTCGCCGACTCGGTCGTATTTTCTGAGTACCGCTGCTTCCTCGTGTCTTCTCTCCCGTAACCTTCTCTGCAAGTATCAAGATGCAGAGTGTGCGAAGCACGGAAAAACGAAAAGCTTAACAGTGGATCCTAGTTTTGTTGATTCATGTCATATACGAGGTTGTGGTACCGAACGGCTGGGTATCCTCACCGACATGACAGCACTGTAGCCAGTGGCGTCTTTCCAATAAGCTTTTTCGTGACCTTTGATCTATACCTTGTTGCCAATGTTGTCCTCACTTGTTCTACCCACTCCACAAACGGCTCGGTATCCTCACCGACATAACAGCACTGTAGCCAGTGGCGTCTTTCCTATAAGCTTTTTCGTGACCTTTGATCTATGCCTTGTTGCCAATGTTGTCCTCACTTGTTCCACTTTTTGTCCAAGTTTATGAACTAATCCCAGCCTTTATCTTGCCTTATCAGCATCCGTATGCCGTGGCAGTCCTAATCAACGTACGTTTGCACACGGTTCATAGTTGAAAAACTAGACCCCACTAGACTGGTTGGTTAATGAATAAGGCTAGTGAAGAGAATCGATGCAGTTAGAAATTCCATCTCAGTCAGTTGGGTTGCATCAAAAAACGAAATTCCAGCACGCTACTTTCCGTTTGGCGTTTTCATTGATCTATGATACAAAGTACACCAAATTCTCAATAACTATGCATATTCGTTTGACAGGCACTCACCACCGCCCAAACAAAAACTACCGAATTCGATAGAGCACGGAGGGACTACCAGGCTGCTTTGAATCAGTTCAATCTCTATCGACACGATCATTTCAACCGCATCTTACCATACTGGGCGCATGTCGGTTATCAAATGACAAAAGACCGGTACGCTCGACTTCAGTCTCTTTTTAATGCTTTGTGCGAACGTGTTCGTGTCATGGCAGAACGTCTGAACACAGTTTCTAGCGAATTGCAAAATATATCCAACACGCTGGATGTTGATCAGGTGAGCTATCAGCCGTTCGCTATTTTTTGACCAGTTCTTTCTTAAATTGATAAATTTCTCTTGGTTTTACTGGAATTCGAGACTCACCTTCCCTGTTTTAGCACCAAACAAACTGTTATCTGCCCATGAGGGTGTACTGCTTATTTTTGACGAAAACTTCGAATTTGAACTCTCGAATCGCTCCATTTCGCTTGAATTTCAGTGTGTCTTAATCCAGTCCTCTGAATTCAGCCTTCGGTGCTTAGGCCACTTTCATGTGCACCTGTAGTGCTATCAGCCACCCCAGCTCCGAGCAACTTTCGAGAAAACTAGATACCATTAACTCTATATTTTCACGACTTGACTCGTCTGGGTGCAGATAGATGACTGACTGAGATCCATTTCGCCCTCACCATATGGACTCAATGTGATGGTTGAAATACTGATTGAGACTTCCCCATACATCTACTGTGAATGATAATCGGAATAAAATTGTGAGTTTTCCGTAACGAATCTCGGTAGAATGTGCTGGCTGTCATCGATCGTAGTCCGCCTTTTTGCAGTTCTTCAGTTGCTGACTCCGTTTTCGAACATCGAATCCACTAGAAACAGTAATCATCCACCAATACCCATAAGTTAACGAAACGACACAGAAGTAGTCACACTGAGAAACCGGTTGGGAAATTTGCCACCTTATGTTTCATGCAAAATATCCTTTTTGACAACAGGTTCGTACCACGGCGGCTTGGAGCCTTAGGTACATTCTGTTTCACTTGCAATCTCGTATAGTTTGGTGCTCAACTAGATCATAGGGCTTTTAGAAACTCGGGAGCTGCGTCCACCTGATGACCCCTAGAAGAGCGAAGTTGATGGTGGTCTGGCGAGGGGTTTTCAACAGTCTTACGAGTAGTGTGTTAGGACTTTTTACCGCTCCTCTTCTTCATGTGCAGTATTCTTAGGCTCGTCCAATTGTTTACATCATTACACGCTATTTCATCAGACCCCTCTGAAATCGGTGTCAGCTTGACTATTTTACCAACAGTCCGATTCTGAATCTCTTCCTGAGGGTAACTCTTGTTGTCATGGATGCTTCCTGAAGTTTTGGATTTTGATTCCTGTAGCATCAGTAGAGGACCCGTCGCGGTAACGACGCAAAGCCAGATCATCAGCATTGTCATGAGGACCCATGATCTTGATGACAAAGTGTAGCGGAATTTACTGTTTTTGCGGATGCTGCAGTATACCGGAAAAAGCCCCAAAGCACGGTGGAACAGTCGCTGACATGAAATGTAACTGTGATACTCAGGGAAACTACCCCAATCGCAAGTAAGCTGGAGACGCTCTGATCTAAGTACAGTCTACGTACTCTCATTTTTGCCGGACGATTAGAAATTATATATCCGTCTGCAGTTGTTCTCCTTTGAGGGTGCCTAACAAGTGGCCTATTCTGAGTGACAGGCGCTCCAAAGTTGAGCGGCCTATGAAGCTGGTCGTTAAAACAATTAGCGGCCCCTTACAATCACTTCTTATCAACCGAAAAATGAGGCTCTGGGATGAAGAGTGCAGATCATAAGGGGCGGTATCCGAAAACGCCTGTTAAACGCGCGGAATGGCTGGTTGATGCCAACGACAAGATGTGTTGACGGGTCAGTCATGCGGGGATGCGGAACGTTGTCATTACCTCGCTCTACGGTTTGCGCCGATCGATCTTCCCAGGTACTGCTCCACGTCTAATTTTCTATGTAAAAAAACAGGTATTATACATCTGATAACCAATAACTTTTAAGGTTGTAAAATCTCCCGTCACATTGATATTTCCATGAGAATTCCATGAAATTTGGCCCCGTACCACAGAACATGGAATTTTTGAAGTCAAAACACAAAGTAGTGTGTTTTTACTTTGAAATTTCTATGACATACACCATGTGGCGCTCAATCTTTTTAACACTGTACCAGCCGAATTTGGTCCGGAACTCCCAGTGATTTGTTGGTTTAAAGAGAATTACACGTTCAAGTTACTTTTTGAATTTCTTTACAAAATAATACACTCTGTGGAATCTGGTGCGTGTGAAGAAGAGCGAAAACTGGTTGTGTTGCTTTTACTAAAGTTTGTTGGACAACCGCTGTGATGTATGGACGAACATCATACAATCAAGAAACGAATGAGCTGATAAGTACAACACGGATGAAGAATATAACTTGCATATGACTGATGTGTTCTGTCAGGATTAGAAGAAGATATGCATGCACGCATCTGTCTGGTCTCAAGTGAAGATAAAAGTTATGTTACTCTTGAGGACAGTTGTGCTTGGTTTCAATTTCCACTCTTTGCGTAATTGTAGGCTGACAACGCAATCCATTCAGCTTGTCGTGGTGTGACCTTCCATTCCTCCTTATATCATGTTTGATCAGCATGCATGCCAGTAAATCTTTCGTAAAGATTTTTTGAGTCATACTGTATCTATTTTTAGGTCTGAGTTTTCATTCTTTTCTGTTTGTGTGCGCCTGTTTGAGCTTTTCAGTGATAAATAAATGGTAGTCATGCCGCCGAGAATTCCCTTGCCACTCATGGATTTCACTAAGTTATTGAAAGCATTAGTTTTGTTCACCTAGCTTCTCAGTGGACTTTATTACCTTGGGATAATGGTGCATTCTTTGAAAATAATAGGTATCCCTTTTATCCGTAATGATCATAATTACTAGACCTTCTGGTTCGATAAAAAATGGAGTACAGAGGAGAGCCCCATGGAAACAGTGAAATATACGGAACGCCATCAAGTCGGATACGGTTTCTACGCCATTTCTTCCAATAGATTTTGGGTACTGGTACCTGGGTGAAGGCACAAGCAACACAGGCTCATGATAAGTGCACGTTACTTGGAGTTTAAAGAGCTGGAGTTCGACAGAGCCTTCCTGATAAAGAAAGAACAGGTAAGAAGTACCGTTTAAACTTGACAGGGGTAGCTGGAAGCAAAAGGCGATATACGGTCAAGGAATGAGGTGGAGAGACGACGGACACTAGTTCCTGTGACAATCTCCTAAGTAGTGGCGGTGAAACAAACCAAAGCAAATCATGTTGAGAGGACACGATATGTTTAACCTACTATCCCCTTAGCTCAACGACATCGAAGCACAGTCAGCCACGGAGACAGTGAAAAACTAGGTCTGGCTATGGGCTGAACAAACACCACCAGAAAACCAAGCGCACTCATCTCATGTGACTTTGTGCTCTGAACGTGATCCCGAATCTCATTTCCTATCAACAACCCCATCAAGAGACTGGTTTTAAGGGATGGAGAAGTGAACCTCGGGCACTTGGATTAGTAACAAAGTCTGTTTCTACCACCGTTGAGATAGAATGGAATTCATGATGCATATGTTCTTGTTGATCTCATCAGGTGAGTTTAACGAGATGGACACTGGTAATAGAGTCTGGTGGAATTCTGTCTGCATGTCTAATGGCCTATTAGAACATGTTCATTTGGAAAATACTTGCTCTATTTGTACACTCGGAATAGGATGTAGTGAAAATATTTCGGGACCATAATTGACATTTACCGCTAGTGCACATTCTATTTTAGGAGTGAAAGCCTCACAAAATTCATCACCGTGGATCTTTTTTCAAGCACCTTGGACCGCATTATGTGCCCTCATCTACTACTGATCAACCTATTATGATCAACCCAGTAACATTTTACTCCTCCACACTACCGTGCCGCCCTTCTCTAGAGAGAAGCGAACGACAGTCAGGAATACTTTTGGCATGCGAGCGCACTAAGGCAGTCGTATTTCAGCCAATTAGTTTGGTACTCATCCTCTTTCGAACTTCACAGCAGTATCATGCTACGCTCATTTTCCCAATAAATTACCCATATGTTGCACGTTTTGGCCAGTGATAGTCGAATCATTATTTCTTGTTCGGTACAAGATTTTTCGTCTTCCCATTCGGTGGAGAATATCGAGTGAGCTGCTGTTGTTAGGTTTAACACCTACTAAGCGATGAACAGATAGGGGGTGTCTTTTTGGGGTAACTAGGCTGTGGGTAGATAAGGTCTACCATAAAACGTTCATTGACTTGTATCTAGCTTGATCAATACAAGTCGCTTTGGAAACAGTTGACAGGTTATTCCAGTCCATGAATTAGTTTGATGAGTCAAGCAATAGGTCATGATATGTCCCAGTAAATGAATCCCACTTGTGTTGTTTATTCGGAGCGTCTGACTTTGTGCATACTGACAGCTTTTGTCCATAGTTTGCTGGACTTAACGGCCCCCAGGTATGGTAGCCAGCGTTCCCGATTCCCGCCATACGAAGATATCCTATCAGAGAGAGCTGCCAGAAAGTGCTCTGAGCAATACTGAGTGAAACAGCCAAAAATAGCTTTCAGTCTTTTACGCCAGCCGAATAACATTGGATGGGAGATAGTACAAGCCTGCTCGACATTGCTTTTATACTGGCCACCTTGTCCAACCAACCGTTGTACACATTTTAAAGTTTTTCTGTACATGCCTGATTGACAGCGCGCGACACTTCAGATCCGATGTCTCGGGATTTGATGGGGATCTGCGAGTGTGTCCCTCAGGTCGCCCTAGTACCTCTATCATATGTTGGTAAGTGGGTACAGAAGCACTGATCAATGTGGCGTACCATGTTGCTTCTGTAACTACGCGAAGGAAAACCATGATCCACGCGTGTGGGTAATTTCTACTTCAGGTCCGGCTAGTTATGGGTGGTTGGGTCGTTTGAACATCCCCCGTCGCACTTTTCCTAGTGGGTCCACATCAATGAACGGAAGCACTGAACTCGAATGCCGTTGGGAGAGTTCTCGGATTTGAACGCCGAATGTGTGTAATGCGGGGCGAGCCTGTTGCCACTAGTCCACCAGCGTACGCTACATACACCTGTGTTATCACCTTTGAACAGGCGAACGTGCCCACGCTTGAGCGATGTGTTTGATTTGTTCAACGATTTGAACGGTGATCCGTTAACTCTTGGTTGCGCTGGTTGATCGGCCCGTTAGG